TTACGAACAATTCAAAGTTGTCGATATTTTCTATTCGAGAAAGAAACAATTCAGTAATCGTCAAATATTTCTATATTTATTACTTCTATAAAAATATTTTTTCTTTTTACCGAACAAACGCACGTTTGCGAGAAAGAATACTCGAATTCTCTGTGGGGTCAAGTGTTATGTACTCGAACTAAAAACAAATTACCGTTACGGACCTTTTTTCCCAAGGGAAGTAATCTTAAGAGAATCTAAAGAATAATGGGACAATAGATTTCTGTTTCATACAATATAATCCACGCTTGAAAATTTGTCGAATTAATAAAGGGGCTAATTAAAGCACCAACAGCTTCGGTCTCGTTAAAGAAACCCACCCTTCTACCGACGGATCCGTCCCGAGGCATTTTCTCGTGTCCAGAAACAAGTCACTCTCCCTCTTTCTCTCCTGCACGCCACATATGAATTATTTATGCCCACGTAGAGGCCCCGCTTGTTTACAGCGTCGCGATATTTCTCTGTTACGAAGAAAAAGGAACCGTAGAAATTTCGCGTTTCCCGATAGAGGGACAGAGAGACAAAGAGAAAAGAAAAGAAAAGGAAGTCGAAAATAAAAATTCCACGGTTACACGCCCATTTCTAATTATACAATCATGCAGTTTGTACGTTCACGTGCGATTAAGTCGTTAGGTTTTACGAGGGGAGGCCGGTACGGAAAAATTAAGAGACTCGCCTCGAGGAGGCCTCCTTCTCGCCAGGATCTTTAATGGTCGATAGAAGGGGGCATTTTGTTTATTTAACCGATGGCTCGCCACCCCGATAATCGTGTTCCTCGCGGCGACAACGATTATTACAGTAATTATGCGAATGATCGATATCACGCGATTAACAACGATTACTGGAACTAACACCAGTCGGGTGTACTTTCCTTCCTCCGTGATTCACCCTTTTCGAAACGATAAACACGACGACGGGAAGCTATATCGCATGATTTCACGTCGATTTATTTTATTCGCGATCTGTATCTATGAATATTCACGGAGGGGTTCGAGTTATACAGACTTTATTCAATTTCAAGTAATAAGTACCTTAAGTTTGTTTGCTTACGGAGAATATTATAGAAATAGTCCACTTACCTCGGAGGCTCGACGAGAACTGACAAATGGTCCTTGTTCGCAAGGGGGGTCCGTTTATCAGGTATAAAATTCATCGAACACGGTCAACGCTGAAAATTGTTATGATTGGTTCTTTACCTCTTTCTGTTTTCATCGATAGCTTATTCTTCGAGGAATTTAACGATCGTGACTGTTTTTTTTTTCCGAACATGTATTGCAAGCATAAGGCAGCTAGCTCGAAACATTTCGGAAGTTCACGATACAATCTTGTTAACTTCTCAACTTCACCGGTCGCCACGCGTTTCGCAGCTGGCGTTTCTTCCATCGATTCGAGAATTAAATAAAACTGTCGAAAGAAGGATAATTGGGAGATGTAATCTCGTTTCGAGGATAGAGTCACAAAGGGGTAATTCTTCAAGAAGGCCTGCCAACGATTGCCAACTGGAAAGTGTCGAAAGAGGATCGATGAATTTGACTAAAGGTTGAGATGGAGTCACTAGAAAAAGAAACCAGGCAATCGCGTATTTTTAAATTAATATATATATATATATATAATTCTTAGTCACGTGGATCTCGGAGGGCGGGTCCGGGAGGTAGAGGTGGAGGGTTTGGGAGGCTGGAAGGTGTACAATATATATATAATACAAGCCACGGAATATCACGGATTCTCGTGTCGAGTTTCGAAAGTTTCTCGATTTTTTTTCGTACACGTGTGTGTTTACATTATTTTCCTCGCATTTTATAGTTTGTGATTTTATTGCTTTTCTCTCGACAACGTGTCTCCCCCTCTTTGACCGTTTCGCAGCGTGTTTCGGAAAATGAATCACAACAGGGATGAAAGGGGGAGGGGGGCGAACGGAAATATAGAAAAGAACGAAGAAAAGAAAACGGATCGAGGATTGAGCAAGATTCTATTTTTTTTTTTGGTACGCCAGAGATTGCGAGAAAAATGGTTCGTTGCGCGTGGTTCTGTTCCACGACGATACAATCCTGGCTGCGCGAAGAGCGCTGAGCGTTGCAGACGCGTCGCTTCCCAGAGTCCTCCGTCTAGTTTAGGGCATTTCGTTCCGTTCAACGTCGTTTCTATTTTTACAAATGTTCGATCCATAATTTTTCCATTCGTTTTCAGTGTGTGTTTCTCGGTATGTCGACTTTTGCAGTAAGGGGAAAACGACGTGTTCTGTCGTGGAGACACGACACCGTTCAGAGCTCGGATCGATGGCAGCGTTTCGTCGAGATCTTCATCCCCTACCACCAACCACACGGTTCTCTTCGTTCGGTCGTTAGTGTCGAATGATCGCCGTGCGCGTTCACCTATTCGATTGGAAAAGTTTTGTGGTTCTGTGGCAAGACTGTACGTGTGCGTCTCTCTCTCTCGTCTTGAAAAACGACCGAGAAATACGAGAAAAAACGACTTTCATTCGACGAACGAAGGAAGCAACAGGTCGAGTCTGACTAATTTTTCACGCTTTTAACCCTTTGACTCGGACTTCAGTTAATTTATAATCGATCCAATAGAAAACTATGCCGGTATTACGATTTGGGTTCATAATTGGTCGAGGGTTGAGGATTGGTAGGAGGGTGGGGGGGGGGCGAGGAGAACGAAAAAGAAAAACAAAAAGTACTGAGGAATGTTTAACAGACATCGTATTTATTTAAAATTTTAAATAGGAAAAAAATATTTAAAAAAGGAGAATCATCGTGATGACAGTTTGCAACTGGCGAAGTAGCGTTAATTAATTAAAAAGAGAACAAAAAATTGTAGGAACAGATATAGTCGTATATATATTCACATATTTATACAATAAAGTTTGACAGTGTCGAAGGTATCACGAGTTACTCTACAACTGAAACTATAAAAAGAGATAGAGATAGAGACAGAGAGAGAGAGAGAGAGGGAGGGAGAGAGAAGCGTTTGAAGAATAATCGTGGGCGACAATTACAGAACCAGGGTCTTAGGATTTCGTATTCTGTACAAACGTTGCGTAGAAAATATTCTTCGAAACCGACATGCACGTTAGGAGAAGCGTTTGAGAGGGATTGATTTTGAACTGAGTCGGCCTGACACTTGGGCACAGTGATCTTGGGCGCTATTCACTAAACGGGACGCGAATGTAGTTACAATTTGTACAGGATAAGAAATCTGTGTTTCTGCGCAGCTTCAACGGACTCGGACGAAAACATGTGTATATATATATTAAAAGAGGAATATCGTGGGACGGGCAAAAAATTACTGAACAATACAATTGTACAAGCTATAGACGATGTTACAACGTATACGAACGCGAGCAGTACATCTCCCCCTTGTTGTTGTTGTTGTCGCGATGATCACCACGAAAATTCTAGAATCGCCAAACGTATCAAAGGGTTAATCGCGGGAACACAAACGGGACTCTGTACGGGGGTTAAATCGAGAATTAAGGGGTGAGCACCCTCGACTTTTAGGACCGCGAAGGTTCGTAAATTTCATCCCTCCGCGCATATCGCTTTTCCCATTTGTTTTTTCTTCTTTTCAGGTCTCTACGCATTCCCTAAAAGCTCATTGCTCCAAGTTCCACCCCCGGTTTCTCGGAATTATCTACATCGATCGCTAAAATTATTCGGGGCCCGATCCTCCGAAAGTGATCGTCCGAGATTTCGAAGTCCGATTCGATCCAGGATCAGGAGGGGAGAAATTACGTCGATTGCGGTTGTACTGACGCCTCGAATGTTTTTCTTTAACTTACAAAAAAAAGAAGCGTGTCGACGCGACTTCGATGAATCGAACGGGGGCAGATCTCGGGACCGAATTGGATATGGAATTTAATCGTCTAGTCTCTCGCGTTTGTAAACACCGTTCCTTTCTTGGGTCCGTTTATCCATCGTTTATCCAAATGGGGCCGTCGTGGGGCAACGTGCGTTTATGCGTCGTCTTTTAGTCTCTCTAATAATTAATATAATATTATATTCAATAATTAATACAGAGAGTAGTTATTTATATATATATATATAATATATATATATATATAATATAATATCACTAGGGTACATATGTACAGGGGCTGCGAATAGGAGGTGCCTTTTGTATTGCAATGTCTCCCTCTCTTACACCTAAAACGCACGCGGACAGAACACGGCTGCACGATTTAACGACGGGCGCTCGACTCTTTGTATCCACTAAACGATTCGCTGAAGTTCGAAACACTTCGAGTATCGAGGTCTGAACGTTTTTAATCGCCAAGAAACATCCACAGGTGGACAGGATCATTCTCGAGACATTATAAAAGCTTTCACGGATACACTTTTCTCGAATACTATCCGGCGCAACCATCGACTTCTCCTCTTCTAATATGACCACGTGAAGCAATACTCCAAGTGACTCGAACCAAAGCCCCTCGTCGCTGACTTCACCCGGGCCCACATCCTCGGTTCCACACCCATTCCCTCTCGTGCTCCAATCAAAATGTACACCACCGACATCACGCGTTCAATCCGTGCAGCGTTCATGGACCACACCCCTCGATCCCTATGCATATTTTTTTTCCTTTTCTTTTCAATATATATATATACACACACACACACACATTCACAGGGAACCGGGCCCAAAATCTTCGCCGTGTCCCAGAAACCGCTGTGTAAATTGGGGGGTTCGGGGGGGTTGAGGGGAGATCCCCAGTTCGCCTGGGACGCCGTCTGTCCCCCGGTGGGACTCGATTGGTCCCGGGACGGCGAGCGACAGCCGCCCAGAATGTAGCTGAGCGATGTGTCCCAGGTCGAATCGACGATCCACGGCCCCGCTACGACAGCTCGGAGGTCGAGTCCGGCTCCCTCTCGTCGCCGTAGATCTCCTCGGGGTCGTGGTGCTCGGTCATTCGTCGTTTCTCGTCCGGATCGTCTGGATTCGTGCTGGTCACGGGCTCGTTCTCCTGTCACGGACTCCCTCCTCCGGCGTCCGCGTCGCCCCTGTGCCCGGGCGTCAAGCTTGGACTCCGTCTTTTCTTCTCCTGTAGACCGTTCACCATGTTCTCGATCGACTTCAGCTCGCCCGCGGAGCTGCTGCTTGACGTTAGACCAGCAACCGGTGTTGGTGAACCAGTCGGTGGCCTGGGTGGTGGTGATCTCGGACTTAACGTTCTGCTGCCTGGGGTGACGGTCTCGAAAGCCGAACCGTGGGACGGGGCTGGTAGGGTGTAGGGCGCGTATCGATGTCCCTTCAGCTGATGCAACGGACTGGCCAACGGATGATGGTAGTGCGCGAACAGGGCTGGATGCTGAGACGCTGCCAAGGCTAGTTGCGCGTTGAACAACATGCCTGGCGAGACACCGCCGTGGATACCCAGGTGACTAGGGGGTATGAGTGGACCTGGACCAGGATATAGTCCATGCACCGGGGGATAGAGGTACGGCAACAGTGGCGGATGAAGAGGTAGACCGACCGACACCTCAGGTCTAGGCCCATCCGAACCCGTCGGGCCAGGTCCTCCGCCTCCGCTCTCAGAACCCGAGGACTCGCTACCCTCGCCCCGATCGCTGGTCCTGTCGTCCCTGTCTCGTGAATGCTCCCTGTCCCGATGATGACCTGGATGCGGCGTGTCCGGCCCAACCACGTCCAGAAGCTTGTCCTCGTCGTCGAGGAGATCGTTGACGGAGTTAGAGGAACGCCGTTTCTCCGGTGACGCTGGCCCACCCGCTGTCAATCTGGAACCGCCTCCCGATACAGTCAATACCGCCTGCCTTCTGCAACAACGACGCTGAGTTAGCAATCTTCTAGGACGGCTTGAGGATTCTTGGCGAATGGGAAAGGTTCACACGTCGGAGCAGTCTTCATTGGGAATCGTGGTGAATGGAAGAGATCCACAGGTTGGAGCGGTCTTCATTAGGACTTGTGGCAAAATGGGAGAGGTTCACACGTCGGAGCGGTTTTCCTTGGGATTCGTGGCGATTGAAAGAGGTTCACAATTTTTCACAGGTCGGAGTGGTCTTCCAGAGGCAGCTAGGGATTTCTGATGAAGGAGTTGAGGTTCGTTCCTTGGAGTACTTGGGATTATCATTTGGAGATGATGCTGGAGGATTGGTCTACACTTAAGAGTAATTTTGGTACACATTGCCAGAAGAGTAATAGAAATCCAACGATTATAATATATATGTGTTTAAGTGTCCATTTCACGATCTTCCAGCTACGCGATGTAAATCAGCGTGCGATCATTTTTTGTCTGCTTCTACTCTGTACTTCCAGTTCAGTATCTTCCATCGACACGAACACACGGAGATTCCTTTACGCACGGTTTCGATTCTCTTTCGTTTACGTTCAACATGTTCCCCGAATTATATTTCACGGTTTACTAAACGGGGAACAGAGATAAAAGGGGGTAGAAAAATGGCGGCGAGAACTCGTTCGCGCGGGAACGGAGCCCGTTAAACGCTTGAAAATTTCCTCCGCTTTAATGTCGGACGAAGCTCACGGTCGCAATAAAAGTTTACGACGCTTCGGTAACAGTTAAGTATTTTCAGCGCGAGACGGTTCGTTATCGTTTACGCTTCGTCTCCTCTTTGAAACGTTCGCCGCGGTACTCGTTTCCATCGGTTTCTCGAGCCACGCGGAACTTTCCGTTTAGAATTATCTGTTCCCTTTAACGATGAAGAATTTCCAAAAATGAAAAATGTTCGAAAGAAACCAGCAGAACTCTCGTGATGTTCATTCGAATCTAGGTAATAGTTGAGGGAGAGAAAGAGCGAGATAGGGGAGACCACTGCGAAATCTACCCTATAATCGAGCCAATTTGCACACCTCAGGCAAATTACAGGCGTTCCGGGTATATCACGTTCGATCGCCTCGCCACGAGATTCGTGTCACCGTTTCGTTGGTTGGCTAGTCTGCGCGGACGTGTCATTAGGATCGATTGTATCGCGGGTGACGAGTGTGTACGCAATTTTATTCGAACATCTATTGCGTTTCTCGATACGCCATCACAGTGCAGTAGGTATCAAGGTGCATTCCAAGACTCCTCGCAAGGAGATTTTTTATGAGGATTACCACAGTGACAAAGCAAGGAATTCCAAAGGCTACGATATTCATTCCAACCAAATATGGCCATTAGTTTATGAAGTATCTAATGTTCAGTGTCTAAGGAGCCTCCGGACAATAATCGATGAACAACTGTACAATAACATTCAGACACAACGGAACCCCAGTATCGAAACGCTACCACAGGAAGAATGAAATTCTTCTTTTAATCCAATCTCAAAATCAACTCTCCACCTAGTATTTATTTCAATTTCCAAACGCCCAAAGATTCACGCATCGATTCATCCCTGAAAGTCGTTCGCAGTCCCACCTACGAAGTCAATTTCATCCACGCACACGTGCATATACGTACATACGCCGTACCGAACCACCGTTTCCGCGTCGCGTCATCGGCAAATCCGAACGAAACGAAAACTCATTATCCGTCGGGATACGGGTAGAACGCGTCGTTTCGTTCTATTCCCAGTGGGAATCGACTGGGGGGGGGGGGGGGGAACGTCCACAGCGCCGCGAACAAACCTGAGTATCGTGTAAGACTCGGCTAGAGCCGTTCGAGAGCCGGACGTAACGAGAGGCTTACCGATACCTTAATGCCGTGTAATGCGATCAATGCACCGACACACATATCTACACATAGACGCACACATACACAGGGAACGGCAAAATGACGAGAAAAGCGAGACAGGGGTACACGGGCAAGAAGAGGCGAGGGCGAGCGAGGCGCGAGCGAGACGGGGGACACCAAAGCACGTACATCGCCGACGTCGCGCGTACGGATGAATCCGTGAGGCTCGAAAGGGTGTTACGGTACGGTTCTCCGGTTTCCGACGCGCTTAAGTGCGAGAGCACGTTAAAATCAATAGTTTGCGTGTGGACGACCGGGATTTGGCAAGTGAGCCACCTACCCGTTCGCTTTGTACATGGCGAATTTTCCTGGACGACGACTGAAGTTGCTATCGGAGCACCCCGCTGGTGAATGGTCACTTTCGGGGTGGTTTGAACGTATTCGAGCTGGTTTTCAATGATCAATGTTTGTATACGTTAGCGGACGGTAGTTAACTGTGGAAGTGTTAACGATCTGTCAGGTCGATTATCTTGCGTGTCGTCTGGTCCCTATGATTGCGCGTGTGGAATTGTTCGATGAACGTTGGAAGGAGTTTGTGGGTGATGTTTGCTTGTGCAAGACACTGGAAGTATCTTCGTATTTTGTTTTTGAGGGTGACACTGTGATGGAATTCTTGTGAAGTGTTTGAGGTACGTGCACTGCTGTGAAACGATTGGTTTATCGGTGTTTGAGAGGGTTGGTGGTAAACGTCCAGAACAGAAATGGAATTGTTTCACTTTTGACAATACCGTTCTTTAATGCTTCTGTTGGTAGAATGACAATTTAGTTTACTGATATTTTAGATAAGGATTCCACAATGGAGAAGTGTCGGAGGACATTTAGTTCCACACGGTTGAAATGTTTCGACAGTGTATCGTAGGATTCAAGATACTTTCCGAGACATATGATATACTTTCTCGACGGCAATAAGCTCTATTCCGGATTCTTGTGTCATTAAACAGACACGACGATGCCAGATCTTATTGTAATCCGTGGGAAGCGCGCTTCCCTAATCGATTCCACTATTTGTATTTACAGGTCGGATGAAGTAATTGGATTGCCGAGGTCTGCTTCTGTCGTGTACGCGTGCGTATCTGTTCCACTTTCGAGCCCCACGGAATCGCTTACAAGCAACCAGGATTTGAAGATTGTTAAATCCAAAGAAAAAGAAGAAAAAAATGTATCCAATACCTTCTTATCAATCTTCCGTCGACACAATTGTACCTATGTACAAGTCGATCGAAAGCTGACGGTTCCATCGATTACGAAATTACTGCAAACACTATATGTATAAAGTAAATGTCACAATTTCTGCTCTCCAAAATTTTAGGAAGCTAACCTCATATATATGTTGTACACTCTACTTCTATTCCAAGAAATGTTATTTATTATTTAACTTTGTTCTATGCATTAAAAATAATTTCATTTACATTTTTTATTTTTCATTAATAAAAGCATTCTAGTTCCAATCGAATAAAGTTCTCAGCGAACCGACACACGCGCGTTTAAGACAAGTTTCTTCTAAAACCAGACTATAAAATCGGCATTTCCATAAACATCCGCGGTCCGGTATCGTTACAATCAACCGACACTCGTCCCTCACGTTGTCTTTCCAATTTCAGACGTTCGATTAGTCTCGGTCGCCGATAGTAGTCGTCCCGTGAAACTGGCCACCAATTACTTGGACGATATCCACGAATGCCCATTCTTGCACCTAACGCATTAAACCTCCGCCTTCTTGTCGCAATTTCTCTCGATAATCGCGACGCGACGGCGGCGACCACGACCTGGCGTATCGATCTCAATTCAGAGTATATTTCACTCTCTGCCCCGTTTCGGCAAACGGTGGACCCGCGCGACTTTCCACGATGAATTATGCATCCCGCGGAAATCGATCGATCGTGTGTGTGCCCTCCGGCCCGTAATTGAGCTATTTCAAAAAGTTCGCCGCTGAATTATCGACCAGACGATCGATCGGTTCGCGCCGTCAGCGGAATCCCTTTGATCGGCCCACGTGTATACCACCCCCTTTGTTTCCTGTAGCTCGCGCTCGTCGTGTTTCTACCGCTTGTTTTTTCGTTCTGTTTCCCAGGAATGCGACCGGCTCTCCCGTTTCATTTTCCCGTCCGCGGCTTTCACCCGGTCAACTTTGCCAGTCCCCGCCGGATCACTGGCGAGACTCATTTCTCGATGAATTTCTTCTTTTTTTTTTGCGTTTTAATCGCCCCTTTATCACAAAAGTGTCGGAAATTGATTGAATTCGAATAGAGGAATATATACAGGGTATCCCATATAACGCGAGCACCCTGAATGTTTCACTTGTTTTTGATCGTAGACAAAAATGTGAGCGAAAAATATTATTCGGTTGGAAAGAGATTGTGACATGGTACGAATTTTTCTGAAGTTCTTATTTCTCGAAATTTCAAGATCTCTCCAATTGCTGTAAATGTTAAGTGTTGAAGATACAAAAATGTGGGGTGACATTTCGGTGGAAGGAATAAATATTGTGATAAATAAACAATTTTCTGAAGGTCTTAAATCTCGAAATTCCAAGGTCATCGATGTTTATTGAACGGGACTACGCGTTTCTATGATCATTGCGTAATAATTCAGGTCAAGCCCAATCCAATGATTTATAACAGTATAATCTTCACATGACCTTGATTAACCTTGAGTACGAAAAATCCACAAATGTACGAGAGGAGATTTCAATAATAACTCTAACCGTGTGCTGAACACGAGGACAGACAGACAGTTGTCTCCGTGGCTGGTCGGAAAATCCATAAATGAAAAATGATCATCTCCCGGGCGAAAAAAAAAAAAGAAACGCGAAGTGAACCACCCTTCATCGAAGCCCGTGGCGGTTCTCTCGTCAGCCCTTCTCGCGCCCCTTACAATTAACGATATCACTGGGCACACACCATCATCGGGAAGACATTTCACCGTCAACGATCCATTAAGACAGTTCACTCGCGAGTCATCACAGCGCCCCCGGAGAAGATTTCATAGGGAATCACTCTCTGCCCGCGAACACTCGATGCTGCGCATTCAGGGGTTGATCAGAGGGGGTTGGGAGGGGGTAGGGTAGTGGGGGGGTGGAAACAAAAAAACGCGATCGGGGTTCGTTGCGTCGTGCGGCCTACGGAAGGACCCCGGGAACCTGGGTTCAAGGGTGATTATAAATCCTCGAGGATGACGCAAGGGTGGGCTGACACCGATAGTCGAACGTCAATTCCTTTTTTTCCTTTTGTAACCCGCGCGAGTACACTTCGATTCGAGGAGTACATTTGAAGGGGTTCCTTTGGGGGTTGGAGGGGTCAGCGAAATCACTAAGATTCTTCCTGATAATGTCTAAAGAGGGGGGGAGTGATTGGAGTTAGCTGTAGATATACAATTCCGTTCATAAGTCACTTGATTGTATTGAGAAAAATGGAGATCGAAACAAAAATGCAATTTCTTGAAGCAATTTCATTGATTTCTTCTATTTTTAGGCGAGATAGTGATCTCGAAGATACCTCAAACGTTTCTCGGAATTACTTATAAAAAATTACAGAATACCTAATAATCAGCTGTCAATTTTGTAACACTATAGGATACGCTGTTCAATACAGTCAAATAATATGGGCGCTGATTTCCAAAGAAACTAAGAACATGCTGCAAAAATTAACGAAGGACCTGTTAAAGTCGTCCTAACTCTTTTGTAGTCCACGTTTAGTAGCATAAGTGTCATCGGGACTTATGGACGAGAGTGTTACGAATTCAATTATAGTTTAATCTTTTTTATACTCGGTCAGCCTTCACAAGTGGAGATTGTTTTTCGCGTTAAACTGAAAAATGGTGGGGACATCGATGAATTAATGATATTACGAACGTTATATGGAAGAAATTATACGATAACGTACTGTTTTGAAACGTTTCGTTACAATCAGGCCGTTAATTACCGATAATGAAACAAAACTGAAAATCCTTTTAATATTGTTATCGTATATCTATTATCGCGGAAAAATCATAACATGGTCGTGTACCAACAAAATTATTAATGTTTGATGCGTTTCACCGCAAGTTTTCCGCATATTTGGCTGCACCAGGGGGTTTCATTTACTCGGCGTGGATCCGAATTGGTTTATAGATACATATTAATGTATAAATATTAACAAAACGCAAGGCGTGACAATTAATAACGGCCGGTGGAAAATCTTTTCGCGGACAGATTGATTCTTCCAGTTACCGCCACGATGTGATCAGTTCCGGGCGTGTTGGCACGGTGATAAATGACGTGACAACGAACCGTGCCCCCTTTCTTCCCACTTTTTGTGTTCTTTTTTACCCCCCTGAAGAATATTTCTCTTTAACCGGCATAACGAATCGACTCGCCACACTCGAGCGGCGTTTCATGATCGGGCCTCGGTTTGTTAAAAACGTAACGAAATAATGCACAGCTCGACCGACAAAACGGGAACACGCGATATCGCCTCTCGAAACGAGTTTCCCCGAAACGATCGAAATTCTTCTACGTTCTTTCGATCTGCTTCGTTTCTTACAGAGTCAGTAACGGTTACCTTGGATCATTTCCGAGAAATCGGCAGACTCGATGCAAACACTCGGAGGATTGGAAAGGCGGAAAGAAAAATAAAATCTGAAATTTTCTGGATGAAATAAAAAGCCAAAAAGATACCGAAGAAGGAGGGGTTAATAAAAGAAAGAAAAAAAGAAGAGATACGAGGCCACGGACGCCGGAAGTCAACCCCCACCATCGCTGCGAAAGCACCCTTTATACGACGGTTACGGGCCTGTAGCGGCGATATAAAATTCAAAGCCACCAAGTGGCACCCTCTAACGTTAACGACAGCGCCGCCCCTGAGCATCAGTATGCTAATCCGATGATTGGCTATGTTCCAACCCCCGCTCTTTCAGTAACCCCTCTTCCTCACTCACTCGCGGCTCCATCTCCCATTTCTCTGCGGCTTCCTGATGGGATCCGGCCACCCTTAACCGAAACCATAAGCCAAAACTAACCCTTATTCTAATTAGGCGGCGCCACGACGCACTGCCTCCCCTCCCCCCGCCCACCTGCTTTGCATATTTTCTCGATTAACCTCGCCCTTTCTTTATCCGGGCGCTGGTCGACGGGCGTTGCTTCAATTTCCGTGGAATTTTCACGGAGCCGACCGTTTTCCTGGGCCATTTATTCGAGGAACAAATAGCCCCCACCCCCCTCTCGATGACAGTAAATTCTGATGCTGAACTGAATAGCTAGACAATTAACCATACTGAAACAGTCGAGAAGTCAAATGATTTTTTTTAACCCTTAGGGCTGATTTGTACTCTGCCCTTCCGGAAATATAGAAAGCCTCCTGTTTTTAAACGGAGGAAGATACATAACGTAGGGGAAGGTTGCCCAATTTGGACCATTACCTATGTTGGGCAACTGCTGTAATTTGTCACATGAAATCGCCACTATTATACGGTACAAGATGCTTTCATATGACAAGTTACAGTACTCGTCTAACCTAGATGATAGTCCAAATTCGGCAACCTTTCTCTACTTTCGATTAGCTGACAGGCTGTGGCTCAGTATTTTTATTATGTAGATGGCACATCAATAAGCCCATTTTATCCCTCTTTTCAACCCTTTCGCCTCTACGGTTGTCCCAACCAGCCCGGTCACCGCACCTGAATGGTCCTCTAATGCTCGTTGCTCTCGCGTATGTAGTAGACAAATTGGCGGAGCTTACGCGAGCTTTCGGTCGGCTGTAAGTGCGTGTAACGAGGATTAGCGACGTTAACGAGGGCGGCACGAGACCTATGCATAGCAACTTAACCTCGTCAGAATCCACTCGAGCCACAGGGCCTCCCCTCCCCGCCCTCCCAATCCCGACGCAACCAATGAAATTGAAATGGGTCTCGGTTGATCCGCCGGCGAACCCTCCGCCTGACATAAGCTCATAAACCCAGCGATATTGAATACAAATGGACGATACCCCGGCGGCGTTTCGGGGTGCAAATGAGCTCTGTGAAACCAACCACCCTAGACCTCGGGGGCTGACCCTGAGGTCGATAAAACGACCTTAATAGCGCGGGCACCGAGGGGAGAGGCCCCCTAAAAATACTCTTCGATCAATTAGATCGGTACCTAGAAGACACGGCAGCGTGAATTGGTTTTGTGCTTCACAGATAGGGGTAGCTTTAAAAAAAAAAGGGTTTCCTTTGGGTCTTATGGTTCTTCGAATCTATCGTGTTGTTGTGGTTCTAACAAGTATTTTCATTGTGAATCTCTCCCTAAATCGAAGACGTTTTTGATTTTCCGATTATTCTTCTGGCAAGAGTATTGTTTCCAAAGAAATTGAAAATTTTCCATAATGTATGGTCGAACTTATGTTTCGATAATTGAGGGGCTTAGTGGAAGAGTGGCACATGCTACGATAATATGAATTTACACAAGTACTTTTAGGGAAAATAAAGTTAGAACTTGTTGGTGGTATAAAGAACTAAAAATGGAGTGCTTCTTTTCCACTGAGCCGCTCAATTATTTATAAAATATGTTTCTCCCTGTACGGGCAGAATTTTGAAAGCGATACTCACTTTTTCTCGCGCTTCCCCGCCCCCGTGTCTCGGAACCCTTTCGCGAACGGGTTGTTGTCGATTTTCAGCTGGGTGATCTGCAACAAACGAAATCAAATGAATTCAGAGGAAACACCGCGTATGTATTGTCAGCATTCCCCCCTTCGTTTATAATTTCACGGTCGATCAATCGAAGTTAAGGATACACCCATGGATCAGTGTTCGACTCTGTTGGATTTTAGGAAATGCTGAATGGTGTTGACCGGTCAAAAAGATTCACAGAAACGACATCTTACTTCCGGCTGTACCGGGAAATGAAGATAACGTGGAGGCACCATGAAAAATCTGGACAAGGGGCTCCTTTTGCGTACACATCGAAAATAATACGTACCGGGAACCACCGATGGTTCCTCGAACCGTTTCGGTTGCATCGACGAGAAAGGGGAGATTTTAATTAACACTATGCTTATGTATTATTGGACACCTAAACTTTATGTTTGTTATCTAGAGTTCAATGTACTTGTATATTGTACCAAAGGGCTCATATACCGTTTATAAATAAATATTATTACATCTCATTGACACAGTCCACAGAGGAAAAGAAAGGGAAACCTGAATTTCTACTCGTTTGTTCGTGAATCGTGGCTGTCGAACAGTTTAACCCTCAGACGACGGTGTCTGGGTTCATTATGGACCCAGAACTTCAGAAACTTCAAACACTATTCCAGTCTACAAAGACTAGTTGAAGCATATAGTTGCTTATATTAGTATTTTATAGATATATTTTCGAGAAATTCGTTCTGAAACACATCTAAAGTACTGTCATCAAATACTGTCTTTTATACGATTATCAAAAATGTTCGCCTTCCGAGGGTTAACAAGTTTTCGTAGTTTCCCCCTTATGGTCTTTTCTCAATCAATTAATTAAGTTAATCCGACACGGTGCCACGGATCGACTGAACTTTATTAAATTACCGTAATGGCTTGATAATAAATTTTCCAACGGAGGTACAGACAACGTTGTTGCACTCTCGGCACACCTATCCACGCGAATAATAGGGCTGCTTCTTAATTAACGACTCGGTGATCAGCCAACGCACACTATTCCTAGATCCGTAACCTTTCGATACCTAGACACTGTGGGTCCGTGGGGTACTTATGAGCACAAAGCTCTGTCTCCCGTGTAAGAACGCTCGAATGCAAGACAGAAAAAACAAAGAAACGAGTATACTTATCGATAAAAATAGCCCCAGACAATAACTCCCACATGTGGTTGTTCTCGGTTTCATTTCTGGGATAATGCGTGCGAAAAAAATACGATGACATTACAATGCCGTCCGAGAAACCCATTAGGCCGGACGAAAACAAAAACCTGAGTCCATCAGAAGAGAAATCAGATCGCTTATGAGGTTCGCGGCGATTACCAGCGAACAGGTGCGCTTCGTCTTTTCATCAGGGCGATATGATTAATTTCTCCGGTGTTCCCCGATGTTTCGAGTGTATACTTAGTAGAGAAGAAAAGAAACGGATGTAGAGGGATTGTCACTCACCTTCTCGTTCTGGTAGGCCGTAACCGCGATGAACTCCGTTTCCTTGAACACGTAACTCCTGAACGTCGAGTAGGCGAGCTGCGAGATATGGTTGGCCCTCGCCAGGTGAAACCTCGGCTGGTACTTGTGCATCGAGTTCAATATCGTCTGAAACAACCAGTCGAGCATACATTGGGACAGATTGTTCCGGGGCAGGAGCTCGTGCTCGCAATCTTTCCTCTTATCTCGAGTGGGTCTTTTCTAGGTGTACAGATCGACTTGGTCTGGGTTTCTACAGGAGTTTCTGTGACTATTTGGTATTGCAATTTTCGACATCTAACTATTGTACCTATGTAGAGTATAGGGGAATTATTTAGACCAGTTTCGTTACCAGGTTCGATCGATCATGCTTCGAAATCGCTTTCACATCGGCCCACAATGACTACGAGATGTAGAATACACATACATGCTCGTGATACATTCGAATATCGTTCGTCGATTTTCAAGAGTCTAAATGATTCAGTACACTGCGGTTAACATTCGATAATGTGTTATTCATTGTGGGCAGTCGATGTAAAAGCCGATGCTGAAGTGAGAAAAGACCACGAAATAGAAGCAATGCAGCAGGGACGCGACGATGACGACCTTAGAGTCCATTCACAAAATTTCTCGATTCATAAATTGTAGTGAACGTTTTCCTCCCTGTCAAAAATAGTAGACGGATTCTTAACCATCAGTGCAGACGTAAATAGAACTAAGCAGTCGTTTCTTAACCGTTTACGCAATTTGACCTTCAATTGACCTTCACCCGAGAAGACGATTTTTCTTCAGAAAAGATCAGTTGAAGGTTAATGTTCCTACATCGTTCAGTTTGTTCTTTCATTGGCTATAACGCTATGGCAATAGAGATATGTGAACCAATTAAAAAAGAATATCGATTACCTTGATATCTCTAAAAGAAATGCAATACAATAATGCAAATCAAGAATGCAATCAAACAATGCAATTCGGTACCGAAACATACTTCTATAACTTTATATCCAAGTAGATATTTAGGCGTTCGACTTCTGATGGACCACTATAGTTCCTACCCTGACAAGGTTTGACCGCAACTCTTCTATAGACATATACACTCGACTGGAAACCAAAGTATCCCAACCTGCACCACTAGAAGCTGTCAGAAACATTGCCACAAATCGTACAAATCGAAATTTTGAATAAAGCATAAAATTGCAATATTCTATTCGATATTTCAAACGTGGTCGCCGATCTAATCCTAACGAAAGTCCCTTACCAAAAAAAAAAAAAAAAAAAAAAAAAAAAAAAAAAAAAAAAAAATAAAAAAACGATCATGTCAAGGAAAGCTGTACTGGATGACGAAATACATATTCCGATTGCCCCCCACTCTACTCGGCCCATAAACCGTTCGTCCATGTTGGAAAGACGCGCACATTTGTCGCGGTCGAGCAGCCTCCGATTAGGCTCCGGAGAAATACTAATTGCTCCGATCGGCGTTCGCACATATTTTCCACGGCGCCGGAGGCGTGTCGAGGCCGAAGGTCCAGGAGAAAGGAGATAGCATTCGCGGGATGATAGAAAGAGAGACAGAAAGTGAGAGAGAGGGAGGCGGGGAAGAGGCATTCGGCTTTGATAGGTTAATGACAAACGCCTAGATTGGCCGGCTTATCAGCCGAGCAGCGCTAATTATTTCCCCTTTGTACCGAGCCGCGCATAATGGCGACCGCCGCGGGCCAACAGCTTCTCCCGTATGATCGCGATTTCCACGTACGGCCCCACCGCCTGCGTTGGTCTGCGTTTTATTTATTGCCAGATCGAGAGGGATCCACCGGGGGCGAACGCGCGGATTGGACACCGTTTCTCTCTTTGCTCATCCTTATCGCGTTGGTTCTTGCGGCTTCGGACCTTTGCCCTCCTCTTACTTGCCTCCCCTCTTTTCTGTCCACGATCACCGCGGTCGAACGTGTTTTTCGAGGGGACTTGACTTCATTCACCGACGCCTTGGATATTTTTAATGGACAGACACACCGGAACAATTTCTTTCCTACCTGCTCTAGAGACTTTGAAACTATCGGCACTGTTCGGAAATATGAACTTCACAGAATGATCGATAAAAATCAAAGAACGTTTCAGTTACTAATAACCATAGTTTCGGTGAAGGTATGAACCGTGAGATTGAAAGATGAACTATTGAAGTGGTTTATTTTATGGATTGGCGCGTGTGTGGGACGAGACTGTCGCGAGAAACCGGGTTGGGACAGAGCACGTCGTTCTTTAATCAGCCGAAAAAAATGAAGAAAATAAACGGCGAGGCCGAGCCAAGTCGTCGTGGAGTTAGGAGGGACCGAACAGACTCGAAACACAGTCGGCGAGGAAATCGAGAGAAGCCAAGGGGCACCGAAACGACTTCAGCAAGGTACACATATCGTGCCGCGTGAATTGACCGGGCCCAGATAAGGGGAACGGGGGAGTAAAGGGGGAGCTAAGGGAAAGGAGGAGGGAGGTCGAGGAAAGTGAGAGAATATCCTGGCCGACACAGAAGCCGACGCTGCTAATGACTCTGTCCGCGGTAATCTCCGGGTGTTATCTGTCCTGGCTACCTGGGGCCCACCTACTTCGAATCACGAAGCTGCACACGCTTCTACCTCTCGTTTCCCGAGGCCTCGATCAGTCCCCGACGTTCCGACGCGCCCGCCGTTCGCCTCTTCGGCGAAGTCGCCTGATAGAAGGTAACCGTTGGAGGAGAAGACGAGGCTTCATCCGGTGATATTGAAATCAGATGGGATTTTAAGTTTCTTAGACGGGGGTTCGTTTCTTTTCTTTTCTTTTTGTTTTTTTTTTCAATTTTTCCATTGAAGGAATTTATAGAGGAAACTGTACGGAGATGGTCTGGTGATTTGCTAATGCGTGCCAAGTGAGGGACAACGTAACAAGCAATTGCAGGGCCATAGGTGAAACTTCGAGCATAGGGAAATGAGGATCGTGAGGTTAATATTAAACCACACAGTGGACCCAGGTGTTCCTGAGGGTCCATACTTTTGAATTTCTCATCGATCGAAGAGGTCTAGGAAATTTATATCCACGAGAGAGAACGAGGATTGTCAGGCTATCGTTAAACGCACTGTGGACTAGGTGGAATTTCTCATCGAAGACTGTTAGGGGATTTAGATCCACGAGAGAACGAAACCGTGGCGGCCGAGAACCTACGGTGGCCCGAGAAGAAGAGAAAATAAGCGAAGCCCTGCGCACCTTATGAAAAGAGGAGCCAGGAGAAGGCAGGCGTCGCGCGCGGAACTCGCAAGAGTGGGAAGAAAAAAAAAAAGTGAAAGAAAGCGAAAGAAAAAAAGAACAGCAGAGAAAGGAGAGAAGGAAGGAAGCTCTTGGGCTCGTTTCAGAGCCTGTGTGCACCGCAAACTAACCGCGCACAGTTGCCTTATGTACGGAGTCTAAGTAATCCTCGAACCATCAGCTAACTTCTTAACCCTCAAAGTGAAAAGGGCCGCCTGCAGGCGGGGAAGGGCGGTGTGGGGGTTTAGGGAGGCTCCTCTTTGTCTCCCCGTTTGTTCGCCGGCTTGGTTCTTTCTACCGCGCGAGTTTCCGCGCGGAAAAGGAGTCTGTCGATGACGTCGTCGTCGCGGAGGCCGCGGCAAACCCTTTCGTAAGACGAGAGACTTGTTTGCCCCTTCTGTGTACGATCAGTTGACCAAACAACTAGCTCTCTCCTCGAGTCCTTCTTGCGTACGAGCGCGTACACCGTGGAACGTCCTGTACAAGCCTCGTGGAATATCTTGTTGCCTACTTTCGTCACGTTACCAGGCACACCTGCGGTCTCTCGAAGTCTCAGAAATGCTATATCCAGATATATTCCTCCGTTTGATCCGCCATTGAGAAGCTAAGTATTCTATCGAACAAGGAAACCAAGGAGATGATTTTGCACCCTACTCTTTTTTTTCTTCAGTCTCGCGGTAGTCGAGAGAACTTTCGCAACAACCCCGAAATGCTTAACAAGCTAGAGAGCTTTGCTGTACAGTATTCCAAACTTCCACCTAGCCCGACGAGCTAAAAGCAACAAACCTAAAGAAGTTAAGAAAACGCTAGAAAGAAAAAGTTGACGCGAAGGAAGAGGAGGAGAGACGTGAGTTTTGTACGCGTTGGAGGCGTGATGGTCGGGGCAAGGGGTAAAAAGGGTGGCTAGAGAGAGAGAGAGAGAGAGGAGAGAACAGTGGCGCCACCTCGGCAGAAAGCGGCAGAGGAGCGAAAGTAAGTAAGCAAGCAAGCAGAGGGTCCTCCGTACGTCGCCGGGGGTGCGAGAAAGAAAAGGCGAGGCGCGCACACCGGGCGACGGGGATGGAACGCGGAAGAGGAGAAGTAAAGGAGGAGGTGGTCGTCCTGGTATCGACCGGCTGAAAAAGGGGTGGATTTTTCTACCCCTGGGCGGGAGGACCAGCCGTTGGGGGACGTGTTTCTGGACTCTATTGCCCACCTCTGATCTCCGGCCACGAAGGAAGCTCGACCCTCTGCTGCTCGGTTAACTTTCGCTCTACCGAAATTCCGCGGGATTATTTGGAAGGGGTGGAAGGATGGCTCTTTCACTTTCTTCATTTTTATTCCCGAGACCGCGGTTATAGTTGGTATTTCATTTGTTTTATTCTTTCTCCGACCGACACGATGGCAAGTTTCGAAACCTTCTAACGATGAAACCTTCCACTTTGTTCTTCATTAAGAACCTTTGATCGAAACTGGTCTTCCTTCGAAGGATACCAGTTGCGAACCACCTGGTACGCCAAGAAGCCAATAAGATCCGTCAGAATTTCTAGGCTCCATATGCCCAGAGAAAGAAATCTAACCATCAAGTAATAGTCCGGTGAACCTTATCGAGTCGATTCAATTACGTCTAAATCAGACCTGGATTAAGATTATTGGAACTCGGGGCTATCAAACCTTCCAGAGCCCTCTTGGTTGAAAATAAATTTTCAAAAATTGAAATTTATTCTAAATAATATTAAATAACGTTTAATCATAAATGGAAGGTTTAGAAAGGAGTCCCCTATCCTCCCTTGCTGGTCTAGACTTAATACATCTCGACAAACCCGAAATCCCCTAGCAATATAGAAAAAAAAAAAAGAGGAAACATCGACCGAGCGTTATTC